AAATACAGATAAATGACACCGAAATGACTTCCCTGACAATATAATGGCTTCCCCCAATTCACTGACACTACAATCAACTCCTTTCCTTGAGACAACAATGGCATTCCTGAAATGACAATGTCTTCCCTGACACTACAATGGCTTCCTTGAAACTACAATGACTTCCCTCAATTCCCTGATACTACAATGGCTTCCCTGACATTACAATGGCTTCCTTGACACTACAATGGCTTCCTTGACACCTCAATGCCTTCCCTCAATTTTCCAACACTACAATGGCTTYCACAACACAAAATCTACAGTCATACAGTATTACTTAACACTTACTTGTTTTCCTCAATCTGTATTCTGTTTTCCTTTTGTATGATCTCTGTCTCTAAGCTATGCACAGATTTCTGTGTTTCAACACGTTCACAGTATTGAATAGCTAACGCTGTGGTATCCTGTGAAATATAGAATYATTTCCATTGTGAGGGTGAATTATCTGGTAATCAGCGCAAAACTAAATAGATAAAAAAATGTACTTAACAAGAAGATACCTCAACTTTCTTTTGCATGGTCCCCAATTCATTCTCAGCCTTTTTGACAGCATCATCCACCTCTTTACATTTCTTTGTATAATGTTTTTGGCTGCTTTTCTCAGTAGCTATGCTTTTGATAACACTATCTTGACTATCCTGAAATAAGAGAGCAATATGTTCCTACATGTACACTGTTCTTGTATTATCAATCAGTCAATCAATCAATTGGTCAATCAATCAACCAACCATTCAATCAGACAATCAATAAACTAGCCACACATCCAAACATTGATGACAACCACCTCGACAGCTAAAACAAAGTTTTAAGTTGCTGTACCTTTAAAGAATCATGTTTACCCATGACCTCTTGTATCTTCTCTTTGTGYTTTTGACTTTTGATTTCTTGTTTTTGAACAGCTTCCTTAGATTTCTCACACTCTGATTCTGCATCAGCAACCTAAAGGAATAATTATCACAATCATGATTATTTGAAAAAAAAAAAAAAATTGCCCTTAACAGCTCACGTTTTCAATGCTTCACAAAAGCTTTTAATAATGTAACAGCAGAGCAATATAATGCTTAAAATGTCAAGAAACATTTTTCTGTAAGCTTCCATAGTAGTGATGACAATATTTAATGAAGACTGAAACCTGGTTTTCTAGATCGTGAACTTTTTGAGCATAAGAAGCTTGCTCTTCTTCCTAAAAACATAAAAATAACCCTGATTAAAAAGACAATTATTATTAATTACTGATAAAGTACTTGAGACTTACTAGTGTTGTAAGATCAGGTAGTTCTTCTTCTTCATAGCTTTCTAACTCAGTGATTTCCTATTAAAACAACCAAAACATCTTTGACTAGAATTGGTGTCTGTGAATGGCTCGGGATTGTGTGTCAATACTGTTTGCAGTATGAAACTTGTAATACATTTGTAATAATAATAAACTGCAATTTTGAATAAGTGATTCTTGAAATGAAGTATTCAAGCAATTAAAATTACCCCAATAAGATGGCTGACTTTCTTCTGTTCTTGCTGAACTTTGGTTTTCAATCTATTTAATTCTTTCTGCAAGAAATTAAGGAAGCCACATGCTTTGTTACATTGAGATTACTGCTTACTTCTTGTTTAGAACTAGTGTAATAAATAATTAGAAACAGAGTTTTTACACTTGTACGTGAATTAGGACAATTCTTCTTTGGAATTTTCTACATCTTGAAATAAGAAACATGTATGTTTTGTCCTTGAATACTAACATTGTTCAGGCTATATTATGTCTTGGTTTTGATTAAGAATAATATATCACTAGTGTATGTTTTGCAAATGATTGTATGAGAATTTGCTTGCATACCAAATCAGGTCTCAAATCTTTTCACTGACTTGCTGAAAATAAGAATGCATTTTCTTTTGTAATTTTACCTTATTGTCATTGATGATGGCCTCTGATTGACGTTGTTGCTCCAATAGTTGACTGTGGTGTTCCTGTCTTCCTTGTAGATCATTTTCTAATCGCCTTTAAAACAGCTCAATCATTGATTGTTGATTGTCACACTGGTATTTTACTGTAGTTTTATAGATCTATTACATACCTTATATCTTGTTCAATATCCTGCTGTAGATATTTACATGTAGCATCTTTACTCTGGGTTGAATAATACTTTGCTGTTCGTCCACCTCTCAACTCATCACCATTGACATCGTATGCCTGGAAATATAGTTTACAAAAATTATTGTTTAAGACAATGCAACTTCACAATTACATCAAGACAAACTTTACTATTTTGACTTCTGTTTAAATATTGGGACATTTGTAGCCTCATTTGTAGAACACAAATTCTTAAAAAATCAAGAATCTAGGCAGATGCTGAACTTAATCAAAAGTAGATGTACTTTATTTTGTTAAAATTCAATGAAAGAGAAGTGTACGGCATGTCTTGAACTTGATAGAGCATAAGTTATACATAGTATTTAACCCCCTAGTATCAGAAAAACTAAAAAAAAAACAATGTTCCATTTTTTACCAATCTGACACCTGGTGGTGGACGTAAAAACACAACATCACGAGCTTCTTTAGGATCTTTTATCAACAGGACTGCCTCAACTCCAGCCTACAAACAAACAACGCGGCTCCCAACCCATACTGTGACGCATCACACTGAAGCGTAATCTCCTCGTCTAGGTTGTAGTACCGCAATACTGGCGTGACTGTAACTGCCACAATGGTGTAAAGTTTAGATGCAGGATTCAAATAGTATTAGTATTGAACTCTTTGAAGGCATCTGTTGTCAGTCAGTGTATGGCTCACCTGGTCAATAAGACAGTTAGCAACAACAGGGTTATCAATAACCAGTTCATCAAGAACAGTAGTGTAGTTACACTGAGGTCTCTACAAATACAAATAGATTAATATATATCAAATATTTATTACTAACTGTGCATCGGTGATGAGGTTTGGTTTATATTTGATTTTAAATACAAATGTATCTTTTACAAATAGTTGTCATTACTAATTCATTCACTAATCACATCATCAATCCTATTACGCCTGGGTGGCATATAGGGCAGCTACTAAGGATTTCAATTCATTCACTAATCACATCATCAATCCTATTACGCCTGGGTGGCATATAGGGCAGCTACTAAGGATTTCAATTCATTCACTAATCATTACCAAATCAACCACTTACACCTGCAGAGACGTCATATCGACCTTGAAATTTACTGATAATAATCAGTGGTATCCTATTATTAGGACAAACTTGAAGCATAATTCTCTTTAATGCCTGCTCATCATGGCCATCATGACAGCAAAATGCCCAAGCCAGKCCTTTTATACATGATTCTATGGGAAATGCCCATGCTTGATCTCGGACAGAAATGTGAGCCCCTGAAAAAATGGATGACAAAGAGATGAGTGAAAAGTTAAATGGAYAAATTGAATGGAAAGTTTCATTCACCWATYGGCCCAATMGGWAGTTGGTGAAACTGTCGTCTGTTTTGCCTGATTTTATTCAACAATTCTGGTACCCAGGCCCCAAAGATTCTCATTCTGTTACTTCTGCTGCTCCTTAGATTCTGCARGCTTCCTCGAGTTCGATCGACAGATCTGGAGGCATCTAATATTTCAGTTCTGTTAATGAAACAACAACAAAATAATATRTATATATATATATATATAACAACCAATAAGAATAGATGAGACACCAGAGCAAATATAGGGCAAAAATCCCTCAAAGATTATATTTGTGGGACATCACATTATTTCTTCAACACACCCTGATGCTCAGATAAATAATAACACATCTAGTGTAGACTTGAACTAATTATGTCACATACCTTAATCCATTCAACCTTTCATTTTCTGTACTTATTGCTTTTTCAATCTCTTGTCTACGGTCAGTTGTAGTTTGCAGTTGTCTCTGATTTGTTTCTAGTTCTTCTTTCTTTGCTAGAAGTTCACTCTGCCTTTGGTTTCTTTCTRCTTCTAAATCTCTCATTGCACTGAAACCAAACAATTCTTTCATTCAAAYAAATTCATTTCTGATGAAAGTGAAGTATCATCGTCTTGGTGCAAGAAGTCTTGAGAAAGGCTGYTATAGACTTTACTCTCAGYGCTAACAGATACAAGCATTACYGGTACTGGGCTAAAGTAGTGATAGGAGTGTAGCGTCCACCCCTACCATTCTCATAGACAACTAATGAAACTTTACTTTACTTAGATGACTTACGTCTGTCTAATCTCTTGTATTCTATCAATAAGTTGCTGCTCTTCGAGTTTGGTGGAGTTTAAATCTTCTTTGAGTTTAGAGAGATTTGACTGAAATTCAAAACATCATATTTGAATGCATCAGAGTATTGAAATACTGTTATTATCACAAGCTAATTCTATTTACCTGTTTTTTCCTCAAAGTAGTTTTCTTTGTCTTCAAATCGTCTGC